CCCACCTTACCCATGTCCCCAAGGGGAGTGGGCAGTTCTCAAGACTTAGTTCGCAGGTAGAGGATAGTCTTAGGCTCTAGTCCTCAAGGCAAGAAATCTTATGTCCTTAAAAGGACCCTATGACTCGGGTATATGCATGCTGTCTGTGAGGTGACAGTCAGTACTCTCAGGGCAGGCTCAGGTCTCAGGTCCTAAGGTGGAGAGATATCTCATGCACCTGGGGGAAAGTTCAAACTCTCAGGGTGGAGGGCAGAGAGAGTGGAGGGGGGCTCAGGATCCTATTCTCCAGGGACTCTATATCCATGCCAAGAGAAGGGTCTCAGGAATCAATTCTGGTGTGTGGGGGGGTCCTGTTCCTGAGAGGTACCTTAAGTTCCTTGAGGGAGAAGCTGAGACCTCATCTACACAGACACAGCAGTCACTGGGGTATGTATGTCTCTTGTCCTTGAGAGAAATCTCAAGTGTCCTTGCTACAGGGGGTCTCAGGCCCTTCAACACAGGCTTAAATCCCTAGAGAGGCCTCAGACTCCACCTCTGGTATTCCATGCTGCCCATGTCCCCTGAAGAGTGATCTCAGGCTTGAGTTCCCAAGTTGGAAATCAAGTTCCTAACAACAAGCTCAAGCACTTCGAGTGGGAAGGGCTCAGATGCCCGTTGCAGGGGGAGAGGGGACTATTATGTCCCCAAGAGATGTTTCAGTCCTTCATAATTAGTGTAGAAGGAGCTTATACCCCTGTGTGTGTGTGGGAGGGTGTCTCAGACCACCAAGCAGCACACTCACAAATACCAGTTCCTGAGGAGAAAGGCCCCCTAAATAGTTCACCTTGCCTGGGACCTCTGCGGGGGAATATCAGTCTCCAGAAGAGACTTCAGACCTAATCTCTGAAAGCCTCAGTCCTTAAGCAGGGGGAGTCTTAGGCTCCAGTATCCAAAACAGTGAGTCTCATTTTCTTGAAGAAATACTCTGGCCTGGTGGAGGAGGGTAAGGGAGAGGGACCAAAGGTCTATCACTTAAAAGAAGCTTAAGCTCCTGGAGAGAAAATCGAACTCTTGTCCCTAAAGAGGTCTCACACTATTGAGAGGAAGCATAGACCCTTATCACTTAGAGAACGAGTCTTGTGTACCCTACTAGAGTTCCTGGTATCTGGATACTGGTTTTGACCCTTGCCCCAAGGGGAAGGGAATCTTATTTCTCCAAGAGAAGTCTTATACCCTTGGAGGAAAGCTCAGAAGATCCCTCTAACGGGGATGTGTGTGTGTGTGTGCCAGACCCTTGAAGCCAGGCTTAGGACCTCTGAGGAAGTCTCAAATCCCACTGCTGAGTGGTTCTGTGTTGTGTCCCCCTAAAAAGATGCGGGAGGGGTTGTCCTATACAGGGTGTCTCAGAACCCCGAAAGGGTTTAAATATTTTGGGGACACGCAGATATCTCTGAGGTCTCCACCTTACTCATGTTCCCTGAAGTCTTAGACTCTTCTTGCAGAGAGGAAAAAAATCTCAAGCCGTTGTATACTGACAAAGGTCCCTTGAAGAATCATGAGACTCCCCTCTTAGGAGGCATTCCATCCTACCTGTGTCTCCTGGGGAGTTCCCACCTACTAGCCCTACAAGATGAGGTCCCAAGGCCTGGAAGAGACCACCGATCTCATCTTTAAATCCTTCGTCTTATCTGGAGCCTCTAACCTCAAGTCCTTGAAGAAAAGGGGCAGGGGAAGAGGGTGTCTCACGCCCCTACCACCAAAGAAAAAGAGTGTCAGGCTCCGGAGAAAACATTTAAGTCCTTTGGGGAGATCTCAAACAGCGTTCCTTGGGTCCCCAGTCTGAGGAACCCCATCCACCATACCCGTTCACCTGTGAGCTCCAGCCCATACCTGCTCGACAGTGGCAGGGTCCATGGCCTCGATGCGTGCTGCAGCCGCTTCATACTCGTCCTCACTGTTGTAACCTGCGCCGACCTCTTCACGTTCGGGACTGCCCCCGCCAACCGCGCCAACCCCGGGGGCTTGACGCCGCCGCTTGCTGTGGCCGGGCCCCGAGCAGCAGCTACCCACGCACCGTACCGC